GTGGACGCAGTGTGGATGTGGGTTTCTGTAACGGCAGGAGGTTTTTCTCGTCTTCACCGGAGCCTTCATGTTAGGCTTGCAAATGATAAAAAAGCCTTTTAAAAAAGGGGAAAAGTTGACTCCATAATCCTGCAGGCACATTCCAGCACGCTGCCAACATTATTCCTGAAAATCCTCCATAAAACTCCCCGTAAATCACACACCGGGAGCTGCTCTGTGCGGCTGTCACGGGCGGACACTCCAGTGCCGAGTGAGGACGTAGCTCAAGCTAAACTTCAGAGCTGCACCCCAAACAGCCAGGCTCCCCACTTCTCAGAAGCTGTGCTGTGCTCCAGACCTGATGCCAAGTTACCCATCGACCAGGAGCCTGAGGAGATAAGGCTGAGACATGAAGGTACCTCAGCAGCGGACACCACAGCCCAGTGGCCCACTCGCTCCCTCACTGGACCAGCCACTGCATCAGCGAGATCACACGGCCACAAGTGGCAGAACAGGGTGGCTTGGACAGCCTGCTGGCCTCCTCCGAGGCCCCACTCAGAACCAGCCGCTATCTGAGTCACTTGATTAATTATCCAGAGTCGCATATTCAATGCGACACATAATGTGTCTCCAAATCTGGACAGGCTGCGACTCTGAAGCCCTGAGCTCATCTCTGTTTTTTTTGCAAAGGCAGGTCCACCATCTAGTCTTCCTACACCTTTCATTCTAGAAACAGTGTAGGAAAGCATTAAATAGGTCAGACTCTGAGCCTTTAAGAGCAGCCAGACTTGAGAAGCAATTCCAAAAACCCACTCACTCTTGGTATCAAACGCCTCAGGCGGGGTTCTCTAAAAGAGCAAAGCCCGCTCTCTCTCTCTCTCCTTAGCACAGTGTCCTTCACCAGGACACACACGCCTGGCCGCACAGCCCAAGTGGATGAGACAAAGTTCTGCCGTCCTCGGCTCCAAGGACATCCTGGCTGCATTTTTTCCAAGACAGTTTTGTGTGTTGTCCTGGCATTCCATGGTGCACCAGTACGTTTCACCAACATCACAATTCAAAGGTGTCATTTGTCTTGGGTCTTCCTTATTTAATGTCCAACTTCCACATGGAACTGAGGTGACTGAAAATATCAGGCACACGCTGGCCCTCAAAGTGACATCTTTGCACATTAGCACTTTAACGAAGCCCTTGGTGGTAGGTTTGCCCCGTGTAATCCACTATTTGATTTACCGACTGCTGTTTCCATGAGTACTGATTACGGATCCAAGTAAATTAAAGCCTTGGCAACTTCAAACTTTTCTCTGATTTTTACTGCTTCCTGCTTACTGGTGCAGTTGGGAGGATTTTTGTTCAACGCTGAGGTGTGATTTATGCTAAAGGCGTCGGTCTTCGGTCGGAAGTCCTCAGGCTTTCTGTATGAAGAACTGGCTGAGTATCTAGGACCTGACGGGCCTGCTCCTATTCCTGATGCCAAGTTCTTTTTCATACAGTCTAGCTTCTTGGATAATTTGCTCCACACACTGAATAAGCACACCCTGCCACACAGCTTGCCTGATTTTAAACAATACGGTACCTTCTGCCCTTCTACTCTGTGTGAATGTCTGTGTCTTGATGTACACACAGGTTTCACATAAGCACAATTTGGTGTTCTGGAATTCCCATCCCACTTCATGTTACCCATACTCCGCTGTCCGCAAAGAACCGGCTCACATGGTTGTGGAGACTGGCCAGTCCCAGAGGGACAGATCGAGCCTCAAGCTGGAGGCTTCTTCTGAGTCATGTGGCAGCAGCTACTGACACTGAAAACTGGGAGGCTGCTGTCTCACGGGGCAGGTCAGGCAGCAAAGCTCTGGTTCACGTCCCACGGATCAGGTCAGAAGATGCTGAGTCAGATGCTGTCTGCAGAGAGCGTGGGCTACCCTCATCTCCTGAGTGCAGCCACAGCCCCAAGGGAACAGACTGGCTTTCACATCAGCTCACAGCACAGAGGATGATTACATTGCAGAACAGCAGCTCCCAACACGGACGATGATTACATTATAGAACAGCAGCTCCCAACACGGAGGATGATTACATTGCAGAACAGCAGCTCCCAACACGGAGGATGATTACATCACAGAACAGCAGCCCGTCCAGGGTCTGCCAACCCACTGAGGAACTAGCACAAGATTATGCACACACTTTCCTTCCTTGTCTGTAATGGTGAGCGTCTCTGCCTTCTGCCTTCAGTGTATCTTCTCTTAAGACCTTCAAGAGCAAGGGATTCCTGGCCAAGAAATGACAGCAGACCACACTACGCTCCAATGGGTCAGAATGAAAATCGGTCACAAACTCCTGTCTGGTAAGGAGTCACAAAAGGGGCACACACTCCTAGGTTCACTAACATTCTACTCCATCAAGATCAAAATTCTGCCCTGCTCTGAGCACTTGAACACGTCCCGGGAAACTTGTGCTTTCTTCCTTTGTTTTATGCTTACACGTTAGGGGATTTAGTAATAAACGTGTGAGGTTTCTGGCGCAAAAAAAACCCAACATGAAAACACAGCAATTAAGAGTTTCCATATGGACAATACAGAGACACTAACCGCACTGACCCTCCTTTCTGACTGCTCCTCCCTTCTTAATATAAACTCACTCTTCCCTAACGTGTCCGTCTAATCTTTTTAAGTTGCTGCTATGAAGCTGAATCCATAAACAGGGAGACAGTCTTCAGTGGTTAAGCTAATCTACCATTTTAAGAAGACTTTAGGGGATTATTTTGGGACATGTAAAGATTATCTCAGGGAAACAGTTTTGGGGGTTTGTCTAGCTTCCATGGCTCCAGAAAGTCTGAAGTCCATTAGATCTTTAACTTCTGTTCTACTTTTAAGGACAGACCACTGACCAGTAGCCAGTATTACAAATTCCACACAACCCAACTCCAAGACCTCACCTGGGACACTTACACTGGCTGCCCCTGAGCCAGCTGGAAGGGCTCCTCCCATGCTCAGACTGAAGAGGCCGAGGGCCATGAGCAGAAGCCTGCCCACTGGCCTCTCACTCAAAGGCTTCCTTGCAGTCCTTCCACAACCCAACAGGTGGGAAGAGATCGTTTCTGGGTAAGAAGGCACTGTGTTCCTTAGAACTGACACCAGTTGATACTAACTAGTGCTAAAAGTTGGAAGAGGAAGAGATTTGCGAGAACATGTGTGCACAAGTGAGAGCTCTGGGGAGGGTGAGAGGTTGAGACACCTCCCTTGGGCCCCTGGACGCGCTCGGCCACCACAGTGCCACAACCACAGTGCTCCAGGACAGAACCTGGAAAATGAGGCCCAGGTGAGGGAAAGACACACAAGGGACGTCACTCTGACCAGCCACCGTCTGGTTACTTAAGCACCTGTCATACTTACTGCAACGTTTTCCAATTCTAGTTGTCGTACTGTGTAATAGGACTTAATATCTTCAGAGATCAAAGTTAACTTCAAGTTTGTGTCTTCAAAGATCATTTCTTTTTCTTCCTTCTGTGGCCAGTACTGTGCACATTTTAGCTGGAGAAGAAAATGACATGGGATTATTGTGAGTAGCTGACAGTTTTCCTGCTACGAGCAGACCCAAGAACATTCTACACGGTCTTTGGTAACACAGATGCCTGCAGCCTTCCAGACCTGGGCATGTTGCCTTCCCACCGCTGCAGCAGCGTGGTGACCCACCGTGATGGGGAGATCAGGGTGGGCTCTGCAGGGAGGTCCGCCTTCCTGTTCCTGCCAAGATGGAGCCAGGCAGCAGAGTCCAGTCTCACAGTCCACTCAGGACTAAGGACCCAAGAGTTCTGATGGCACAGCGGGACACACTCGACTGGCTGCACTCCACAGGGTGTGCTCGTGGGTGGTGACCACAGCAGCTGGTCCTGTGGGCTCGGGCTCTGGTGCCTGGACCAGGGACCCATGGGGTCTCTGAGGACGATGAAGAACCATGCGGCTCCTGAGAAGGGTAAGGTAGACCCAGAGGACAGTGTAGCCCCGTGTTCTCCAGAGAAGTCAAGTCAGAGTGAGAGAAACATACCCGTGTGTGACATTAGCACAGACGCAAATCCTGTGGGTGACAGGGCTTCTGTGAAGCCAGAGCAGGTGCCCAGGTCACCTCTCAGCATCAGGCAAAGGCAGGTCCTGTGAGGGAGGCCAACCTGCCAGCTCCCATGGAAGATGCCACTCAGGACACGGGAGTAGAGAAGGCATCGCGAGAGGGAGTGGTCCCGACCCTCACTTAACCAGGGAGGGTAGAGCTGCACTCTTCTTATGTTTTAAATAACTAGATTCGTGTGAGGAATCTGAGTTGTGCAATGGTTAAAGTGCTTGGCTGCAAACCTGAAGGTGTACAGTCTAAATCAGGGAGAGCTGTGGCAGTCTGCCCGTGTGAGGGTTACAGACTAGGACACCCCTGGAGTGTTTCTCCTCAATCCAACAGGACATGATAATCTGGCATCAACTGAGGGCAACTGGATTGATGGTGCAAGAGCCCCACAAGGAAGACACCAAACCAGTGGGACAAAACCACAGGTGATAGGCGGGCACCCAGAGCGGGACAGGTGATGGGCGGCCACCCAGAGCCGGAAGCAGAGACATGGAGCCAAGAAGCAGGAGAGTGGACTGAGCTCCTGAGACTAAGGAGCAGGGGAGCCCACCTCCAAGCGCTCTCTCTCTAAACCCCACAGGTGGCCTGACCATCTCTGCACCTGGGGTAGGTGGGCCTCAGTGCAGCCCCAGGGTGGAGGGGTTCTGGTCAGCAAAGTGGTGGCTACACAGCATCTGTTTATACCCATTATCTACAGGAACACACTCTGCTCTTCTGCCACTCCCTGTGGAAATGTTTGCACTGAACACACAAGGCAAAACCAAAACTATCCTATCTGACAGATAGGAACCGACCTGAAGAGGAGCTTTTAGGAGAAAGCAGCGTTCCCTGGGTCAGCAAACTGACCCAGCATCAGCAGTCGGGGGTGGCCGCGGCGCCGGTGCCCCCTCAGCTATGAGCACCGACAAGGCGGGCGGAGTCCCAAGGGCCTCCTCCAAAGTGGCAGCTGAGCAATCTTAGGGAAGTCTAGAAAGTTCCCTGCAGTCTCTGTGGTGGAGGAAGTGGCATTCCCAGAGAGTTATTAACAGACAGAAGCAGAGGATAAAAGCGAGAAGCATAAGGTGCTGGTGATAAAAATGCAGTGTCTCATGTGCAGAAGCCCCTGAAGTCAAACACATCATCTTTACCCCCAAACCACAGGAAATCCATGGCCATCAAACTGATTTCACCTCCTGCAATGGTCCATCAGGCTTCCAGGCTAGAGTGCCTTATGGAGGAAGAGTGCCTCTCTCTATCCCAAGAAGTAGCTGGTGGATTTGAACCACTAACCTTTCCACCGCAGCCCGATACACAATGCCCATATGCACCATCAGAGCGCCCCATAGCATTTTTAGTAGAGATTTAAGGAGACTGAAAAGGGCAGTGTTTCCAGGATGGCAGTGCCCTCACTCATTTCTTTCACAAGCTGTCCTAACCCTTTCACACATCTAAGGTCAAATTCTAAACTGAACCTGAGAACACTACCAGGGTGGACGGCCCCGTCAGAGCAGTTATTTCCATAGAACTGCTCCCCAAGAAGCCCAGAAGGTCAAGCAGTTACTACACAGTTTGCGCCAAACAAGAGGAGAGCACTCGACACCGACTGCTTCGTGAAGGAAGGCGATCAGAAAACAGGAACGCAGCAAATCAAACTGTACACTGGCATCACCACGTGCTATGTGGACAGCAGGGCTTGGAACCACGGATGCTGCCAGGGGTTTAGCGTGGGAAGGAGATGTGCTGCTAACCCAAAGGCACGAGGTTCGAATCCACCAGCCGCTCCGAGGGAGAAAAACGGGCAATCTCCTCTCATGTGATTTACTGCCTCTGGAAACCTGCCAGAGGGTCAGTTATGAGTCGGTTACAATTCAAAAGTCCCTAACAACAACCACAGAGGTACTGGGCCAGAACCTAGATTTTTAACAAGTTGTGCTGAACCTGGAAATCTAGAAGAATCCGATGAGAGCCTTGTGAAAACAGATTCTGATGCAGTAATCTGAGATGGAGAGGCAAATTCTCAACAAGGACAGTTTATAATCAGGTCAGCTAAAAACAAGCCCTTGCACACTTCCCATCATCCCCTTCAGTCAGCCTTCCTGAAAGAGAACTGGTAACGGTGGTCCCAAAGAAACATGAAGAACTGCAAACTACAGGCTGCTTTTTAGTGCTAACCTGTGAGCTCAAATGAGCCAGAATGGAACAGCACAGAAAGAAAAACAGGCACCTTTATCAAAGTCAACTGTGATACAGCCATCCAAACCCCGCATCACTTGGATAGTAAACACAGCACTCCAGGAGAGAGGCTGTCAACACGCATCTCTGGCCCAGAGTCACCTGGGCAAGTGGAGGCCAGAGCAGGATCATGAAGGAAGTGGCCAGAGAGGGCCATGAAGGCGGTGACCAGAGAGGGCCATGAAGGCGGTGACCAGAGAGGGCCATGAAGGCGGTGACCAGAGAGGGCCATGAAGGCGGTGACCAGAGAGGGCCATGAAGAAGGTGAGCAGAGAGGGCCATGAAGAAGGTGAGCAGAGAGGGCCATGAAGGCGGTGACCAGAGAGGGCCATGAAGGTGACTAGAGTAGGGCTGTGTAGGTGACCCAACTGCAGTCCTGGGAGAGGGCTCTGTGGAATGTGACAACAGTCACTAACACAGACCAGGGTGTTTGCAGCAACAAACAGGCAAATGCATAAAAACGGGTTGCTGGAAAGCGCCAAGGAATCAGAATAAATGCACAGTCTACAGAAACTCAAAAGGAGATGCTCTCCCAGAAGGACAAAGGGCTTCCCCTGTCGTCCCAAGTTTGACCTTCTAAACGGTGACAAAATTGCTGTGCTTGTAACTGAGAAAAAAGGCCCCACTACTATGCTGAGCAGAGTTCAGAGCTGATGGTGTGAGTTACAAGCGGCTCAACGGCACCCACCACCCACCACGCCTGATGCTTTCTGAGTAACTTTGTCTCTGGAGAGGGCAACATTCTGCCCTTGTTCACAGGGTCACTGCATGCTTCAGTTGACTCAATGGCACCAAACCACAAGTCCTACTTAAAAACTCAGAACCCTTCATTATTGTCTAAAGCAGTGGCTCTACACCCGGGACCCTTCTGTGCCACCCTGCCACACTAATCTGCAGACATTTCTGGCTGTTACAAGCGGAGGGGGCTGCTACCAACCAGCACTGAGCACCCACAGGGCCCAGGGCAGCCTCACAGCGAGAACAAGGCTGGAGACGCCCCAGACTCGGGCGGGGCTGACTCTGAGGAACCTGAAGGCTTCCAGGCTGGCAGCCGTGAGTGCTGGGAACAGAACGTGTTGTTTATTCAAATCTGCTGACAAGCGCAGTGAGAGGTGGAAGGTTGGGGCACTACACATTTTACTAATCAAGCCACTATAGCAGAGAGAAGACACTTAAAAACTTTCACTGAGAAAAAGAATTCGCTACACCAGGGGGAATTATTTCCTCAAACGAATGCTCAGATGAGCTCCGTACTGTTTACTGCTAGCACACAGTTCCATTTTTAAAAAGTGGGTAAATGCAAAAGACATGCTTTTAAATGTGTGCTGTTATAAGAGGCTATCTTATCTGTGTAACTGACACCGGTTCTTTCTGCATGAGGGGAGGGAAGAGGCTTGGGGGTTAAGGCCCGTGGTTATGCTTCCTTTGATGTGTTATTTTTCTTTTGTGTGTGTTTTTCACCCTCTGGGGCTTGAGGGTGCTTTCTTTGGCCAGGTGACTCCTCTGGACTCATGCTCTTCTGGCAAGCCCCATCTGTGTCCAGGGGTGGCCAGGGCAGCTGTGAGAGCACGTCCCAGCCACGCCCAGCAGTCAGTGCCAGCAGCTGGCAAGGCTTGGGGACACCCAGTTCCCTGGCCAACATCACTCACTCCTGGGCCACATGACCTACTGATCTGCAGTCCCAGGCCTGTCCTCTCCTGCGGCCGCCCCGAGCTGGACGGGGCCTCAATGTGCCAGGTGTGTGTACGCGCACACCTGTGTACGTATGAAAGAAAAAGAGTGCAAGCACATGCAGCCAGGACAGTGGAACGTGGCAATAACTCTGGTCACTTGGTGGAAACCATGCTTGTCCCTGTAGGTATACACAGCCGATTCACAGGTGATCTTGACCAAGGGTGAGGGGTTTGGGACAGGAGGGTGCCAGCACCCTGAGGACACGTGTTAGTGGCAAGGGTGGCCCCCAAGACCAGGAGCTCTGGCTCACAGTAGGGCGAGGAGCTCACTTGACACCTTGTTGGGAGACATTTCGGAGACAGGGTGGGTGGGTGGAGAGAGCCAGGGCTGGATCACACAGGTCCTAGGGTGCCATCCTGGGGGGCAATGGAGGCCTCGACGAGGTTCAACTGGGCAGAGGTATGTTAAGCCTTGGTTGAGAAAGATTGTTCTGGATGCAGGGTGCAAGAGGAGAGGCTCGGGGTGGTAGGGAGGGGAGAGGGTGGGCATGCTAGAGAGAGAAAAGGTGGTGCCCTGGCAAACCTGCAGCCCAGGCCCCAAGGTGTCCCAGGGGAAGCTTCTAGAGCCACACCCAACTTGGATGCAAGGACAGCTCTAACCCTGGAGGACAACCACGCTGAAGAGGTGGCCAAGCCAGGGGTGTCCCTGGAGAGGCAGCGGGCGCACCACGCAGGGCCTCTGCAGCCAGTAGGGGGTGCACATCCACCAGGTGAAAGAGCAGAAAAGATGAAGCTGGTGGAAACTTGATTTTCACAAGAAGTCAGTCTGTTTACTGCTCCAAAGCACAAGGCAGTGGCCAAGGGACGGCAGGGGAGGGTGACGGGCCACTTCTCTTAATCTGGAGTGAGGGGACCTATGGTTTCCCCTTGATGCTGATTTGTTTCTAACAAATGTAAATTTATATGCTGCTGCTTTACATATTTTCTTTGAGAGATACATATACACACACCCATGATGTCAAGAATGCATAAAATAAAATCAAAGAAACAAAGCGCAGGCAATAAGCGCTCAAGTTAGCACAGGTGATGGCACAGGAAGTCAGGAAACCCCAGACTCACCGATCCCTTCTCCATGACTCTGTTGAGCATGACGACTCCCCGGCTTTTCTGTTCCCACACCATCTCCCAAAAGTGACCACACGTATTAGGCAGTGGACCCTGCAAACAGACAATTTACAAAACGTGTGACACGTGAAGCACAGGTGAGGTGCGTGAGGTGGGTGAGGGCCTCTGGCGGCGGACAGTTCATATCCTTACGGGCCTCTCCCTGCCGGCATCACCAAGCGAGCTCATGCTACAAAGTCAAAGGGCATGTCCAGAATTCTGCTCAGAACAGACCGGCTGCGGTGGGAACAGCGGGTCTGCTTGCCGGTGTGGGTTAGCGTGGCTGACTGAGGGGCTCCTGGGATCCACCGTGGACAGGCCGACAATGTGGCAAAGTCAGCGGGAGCCGGTGAGGGCAGTGAGGGGAAAACATCACGGCGACATCTCTGGTGATTGCAGTTCCTGCTCTGTCTGGTACCTGTGCAACTCTGGGCATATGCTTCACCTCACCGAGCCAGTTTCCCCGTTATATCCCTGGACTAATAACTACTCACAGGCTGTGAAAATGAAACAAAGAACTTAGCCGATCACCTGGGACCCAGGAAGCACCCGCTGAAACGTTAGCTTTTGCTATGAGAGCCATGATTAACGGTCAGCTCGCTACAGCCAGCCTTCACTTCCACGACACCGAAGTGGTATGGACATTGACACTGTGCAGTGGAAGCCCAAGGAAAGCTGTCATGGGGCACCGTGTGGCACGGGTCCAGCAGGAGCCCATCTCCCGTAAGCCTGGCAGTCGGCAGAGGTGTTTACTGGACAGGTGAGAAGTCACTCTCCAGGTTTAGTTCCAACTAAGAAGACGTCGCCTCTCTGGCCAGCACTCCTTCTAGAATGCTTCCATTCTCACCTATCTTCATTCAAATGTTCTTTCCGTAAACTCTTTTCTTTGAAGTCTTGCAACACGTTCCTGGACTGTGGTAACCCCGAGTTAATGTCCTCTCTCTCTTCTCTGAGCACATCTTGGACTAAATGCCCAAAGCAGACGCCACAGGTGCGCAGACAACACAGATGACACAGGGACCCTTCAGATCACTAACATGACAAGGGCTTGCGGAAGAAGGAATCAGGTGGTCTCCTGCTGGCCACCACGCCATGCATGCTCTGGGAAATGGTTCACTCCCCCAACCCGAGCACAGGGACCTGTCAGTGGCGGGCCCCACACAGTGGGGACGTCACTCTCTTTCCTGGGCTCTCCCCTCCCTGAGTGTGAAGGACTAAAAATCATCAGAAAGGCTACACACCAGGCCAGGTTTTGCTTTTGTGACAAAAATGCTTCAGTCGAGGGTGCCAGCCTGGGGTTCAATGGCTTCAATCCCTTTTAGTTAAGTCCCAGGAAGATTGCACAGCTAGCTTGAGACCTCATATCACTGACCACAGATGGCACTTCAGGTGATCCAAGGAACTCTGCAGTATTGGGGAGAAGACCTTTCCAAGCTAGTAACAGACAATGGACACCCATCTGTTTTCACTGTGGGCTTCGTGACCCCATGATCTCCTGAAAGCAGGAAGTACCAAACTTGACTTCTTTCAGAGAGAATTTCTGAAGAAGCCACTCTGCCCTCCACTTCTTGCCAGCCTGCCCCCCCTCCCCGGGAACTCCCTCCTGCCACTTCCTTCTCACCCTCACCCCCTCCTCAGAGGCGCAGAGAGGCCCAGAAGCTGAGGCGGGGAATGGCCTGTTCTGCATTCACACACCAAGGACTCCTTGGCAGACTCCAGCTCTGATCAGCCTGGCAGAGGCTCCGGACAGCGTTGGGGACATCTGGGCTGATGGAGCGGGAGGAGCTGGAACAGGAGAAGGGGGCAGCGAAGGACATGGCCCACAGAACTGCTCTCACGCCCCATTTCCAACAGCCGTGGGTCACACTAGTTTCTGGTTGCCCCATAAGCTCAATATGCAAATAGTAAGCAGAAGTGTGTGCTCAAAGTCACCTTAGGAGTCAAAGACATTTAATAATATCATCATAATACTCCTAACTAGTGAGAGCCAGGAAACAAAAATTCTCATTTAAAAAGAGAGAGAAGCTTAGCCTGCTGGGTGCAATTTGTAGATAACGGACTAGACTTGAGAAGATGAATGACAAAGACATTCTTTTACTCTTCGAGTCTCATGCCAGTATGTGTTTTACAAGAAGGTCAATCACGGAGCTAATTTTGTGAATTTTGCCCCCTATAAAGATTGTCAGAAGCCAAAAAGCCTTGCAAGCAATTTTTTCCCCTAAAATTCCACTTGCTCTTATAATCTACTGATGCCTTTTCTGGTCTGGAGGAGGAGGGGGAGGAGGAGGACCGTGCTGGGAATGAAATGCAGACCTTGTGTTGTGAATGGAGTCTGGACAAGGACGCCTTATCTGTGCCAGCCCTCTGAGCTTTACCGTCAGGAAGGAGCTGACGTGCTGAGGCTAAGATTTACGGCTCCGTGATGGGGAGAGGCAGCGGGGCCACACGCTGTCACAGACCACAGGCAGTCCTGGCATCGACAGGCTGTTTTTTCGAAGCAGATTCCCAGAAGTGCCATGCTTCCCAGACTACGGCTACAACCAAACCAACTCTGTGGGCACACTTCTGGTTGCTTCCGTGGTCTTCTTAAAACCCAACATTGTGAAAGATGCAACAGACAACTTAAGTTGAACAGAAAAAAAGCAAAAAGCCATTCAAAAGACATCAGAATGTGCTTTTTATTACCTGGGTAAGAATGTAACTCCTTTGGGCTTCTTCCATTTTTATCAAGCTAGCATTGATATAGTCATTATCTTCTTGGTGGAGTTTAATCCGACTATGGTCAACTGAAAGGCAAACCAGAACTCAGAGGTTAATACTCAGCTGGAGGGGCCATACAGCAGGTGGGGCAGTGGCCCCAACTCCCCGCCCCGGGAATGGTGAAGAAGGTCTGTCTGTCGTGGGGCCCAGGACGGATCCCCACTGGCTGAGAACTCGCTGTATTAGTTAACAATGGCCATCCATACCATAATGACTGGTATGTTAAAAAAAACAAGTATTATTGAGGTAAAAAAAGATTTTACTGATGTGTTTGAAATGAGGCATTAAATAGTAACAGAGAATACAGTAATTTGAAAACAAAAATTAAAAATATAATAATTTAAAAGAAAAAATCCTATCCTACTTGGGGAATGAGTACTTAGGTGATATCTTCCTGTTTCCTTCCCCTAAAACGAGGTCGGCCAAGGGTCGGCGGGTGGGCGCAATCAAGGGATCCGTCCACTCTTCACTTACAACTGGGTTGGCTCCAAAGGCCACGGTGTTATGCAAAAATTGGTGTAATGTGAAAATGAAGAAGCACCTCATTGGATCACAGACGGCAACCCTGATGTAATCATTGTTGTTGCCGATTGCCTTGAGTGAAGCATGACTCATAGCAACCCTATGAGCGAAAGGCCTGAAGCCCTTCTATAACCACCAACATTCATCAAAGTTCACAGAGTTCCCAGAGGCATGTTGTTTAGGAAGTGGACGCCACTCCTGCTTCCAAGGACGTAAATCAGAGTCAGTTTCAGTATCATCTCAAACCTCAGTATTCCTTATGGCTATATGTCACTGATTTGCAAAATAGTTGATTTTCTGCTTTGACTCTAATTGTAAAATATCAGACCACAGGATAATAAGTGAGGAGCAGGCATGTATTTCTAAAAATGAAAAAAAAAATATATAGTAGCTTTCATCATTTTATGAAGAGGAGCAAAATACAAGAAACATTTCGTCCAGTCCCCAAACACCTGTCAGCGGTCTGTGGATGCACCAGCCGAGCCAATGGGCAGTGCTGGAAGCTGACAGTACTGGAGCAGTGGGCAAAGCTGCATCTTAAAATCTCTTCCCATATGCTTTGTTTTTTAAGTTCAAACGTGATGAACTTGTATGGTGGAAGGCTGATTCCAACTCATCCTGACCCAGCATGACACAGCAGAACTGCCCACCGCGCCAAGGTCGCCCAGCCGGCGATCTTTAGGGGAGCAAAGCACCAGGTGCCAGAAGACGTGGTGGTTGCTGGGTTCTAGCTGCAGCATTTCTGCAGCCCTGAGTTCTTAACCACTGTGCCTTTCAGCGGGTCTCCTTAACACAAAACACAAGCCCCTGGCCACGGTGCAGATCATGACTCAGCAGTCCTCTGTGGGCAGGGCAGCACCGCCCTGTGAGGTTCCCAAGGCTGCGACCTCCACAGAAACAGAGCGCCACGTCTTTCTTCCTTTGAAGTAGCTAGAACCTCAGACCTCTGGGTGAACAGCCAAGTGCATTAATCACTGTGCCACTAGGGCTCTGTAGCACTTCTAGATCTTTAAAATTTAGAACCCGTCGTGATCAGAGACTTTAATAAATCTCTGAACCCAAAACACTGAACGTGTTGATATGAAAAGTGGCTCTTAGCAGAGCTGGGAACCACACTCTTACTTGGAGGCACAGCTATTCCTTTTCTTTGCCCCCCCTTTTCCTGTTAGTGTAGTTGGCAAGAGCAGGTGGGCCCTCGGTGAAGGACTCAGCCAGCCGGCAAATCAGCAGCTCCTTCTCCAGCCCCATGGAAAACACCGAAGAGTGGCCGAGGGTTTTCTGTTCTAGGGAAGATGCTTTCAGTAACTAGCTATTCTCTGGACTACTACTCTGCTTTTCATCACAGAGGGTTAGAATGAAATGAGATGCTGAGGTGACACTGAGAAGGGATGTAGAGAAAAGATGCCAAGCAAACTGTGCAACTGATGTTGGTGCGTTATGTGAATGGGCTTCAACACACTGGGGGACTCTGGGCAAAGGACGCATCCTCCAGGATTATAGGGAGGCTACGCGAGGTGGTATGTGCGAAATACCAGCTGAGTGCCTGGTCCAAGTCAAGTGCCCAACCTCTGCTGCCCACTGCCAGCACAACTGCCCCACTGGGAGTCAGGCCCAGGGCCTCGTCACCCCGAACCGGCCTCCTCCCTCTTATCTCCCATCACTTTCCGGGGATTACTTCCTCTGCTGGAGAGTGAGGGGAAGGAGGGAAAGGGTGAGGGGTACGAGACAAGCGCTGAGCAGAAGTGGGTAGGACTGGAGCACCAAGGGGGTCTCCTGCTGGCGGAGCTGTGGACAGCGAATGGTCTTTCAAGCTCAGATCTGCTGGCCGCAGGTTTCTGGAGAGGATTTGACAACAGCATCATCCGCAGCTGCTGCTGTCCTGTACAGTCAGAGGCAGAACTGACTCACAGCTGACCCTCCAGGGGGCTTTCAGAGGCTGTAAATCACACGGGAGGAGACCACCCACCTTCTCCTGAAGAGTGACTGGTGGGTTTGAACTGCATGCCTTTGAGCTGGCAGTGTAACTCCTTACCACTGAGTCACCACAGATAAACGCACAAATACATATACACACATACGCCTATGAGTGGCCATGGTCTAGACTTGCTCAATCTAAAAGCCCAGGTGCTGTGGCCAACCACCTGAAAAGCCCTCAGGTGTCCTGCTGTAGTCTCCAGTGACCAGCGTTCCCAGAGCACCTGCTATGTATGAAGGAGTCCGGTCACACAGTGCTTAAGTGCCCAGCTGCCAGCTGCTGTATCGGTCTGCTCCACAGAGACTGTAGCCCTGGAAACCATGTGGCCAGTCCTTTGTCCTTCAGGCTGACTCCGAGTCGGAATCAACGTCTTTCGGCTTTGCTAGATCTGCCCAGTGGAGCAGGTGAAGGGTGTCTATTATTTCGCTGCACTTCCACACAATTCTATGAGAGGGGTGTGATTCTTGTCATGCTGCAGGTCAGAGAACTACCTGCACAAAGTTATCAGTGGAGGAGGCTGAGATGTGAACTCCGGCAGGAGAATACAGGGAGAGACACGGGCCTGGCCCACTTTCACTGCCCCTGGGAACCTGGGCTGAGCGTGATTCCAGGTGGATGCCCTGCACGTCCCCACTCTGAATGTCTCAGCCGGGACCACGACCTGGGGAGATTCACGGCTCCCAGCCTGCTCTACTGGAGGGGACTCTTAAAAGCCTCCGTTTCCTTGGGAGCAAGCCCAGACTTCACTCAAGCCCTGTTCACAGCCTGTCACGGTCAGCAGTCGGCTTCCTACGTATGAGGAGCTGGGAGCTGCACTCAGCCGGCAGAGGGAGCTGCCGAGACCAGTGGGCGCCTGGACACGCAGGGACGAACTGTTCCTACCCCTTCATGTGCTTTCACGGAGCATCCTCAGTTTATCACGATGCTGGGGGTCTAATAATACAGGTGCTGAGTCACTAGAAAAGGTACTATTATGCTTGCTGTACATGGATGGCTAGTCAAAGCTAAAAAAGGTGCTACAAATTCAGCTGAATTTTCCAGAAACGAAAACCTCACCCCCTTATACAATGGTGGAAACACAAGCCATTACTCAAAGTCTCTAAGGCCTTTATTATAGGAAACCATCTAGATGTAAACCTCTACTGCCATCGATTTATGAACAAACCCCGAGGTTAAGGAGGCCCGGCCGAGAACAGGCCACCCGAGAGGGAGGGAACAGCGAGAGCCGTGTCTCCCAGATGAATACTTACAGGGGCTGACATCTCTGTACCTGTTTCGGTTTTTGTTTCTGGGAAGTTTGGCCACTTTACATGGGAAGTCACTGGCTTCGTGCCGGATATCCTACAAAAGAAAATAAAAAGGATAAAATGTTTTCTTCTGAAACCTCTGGAACTAGAAATGTATTTATCTGCATGCCGTGTCAGGTATGAAACAGACATCAAGAAGATCCCGTGGTGTGGAGCTCAAGGTGATAATTCTGGGGTCTGGCCAAGAACATGGGAGGAAAAGAGAAGGGACCTCATGAGGAGGGAGATACGGTGACTGTGTGCTGGGGACTGAGAGAGTGGTGGGAACCAGAGCTGGGATGTATGACAGGCAAGAGAGTGGGGAGAGGGAGAAGGCATCTCACCCAGGCCCCCCAGCAAGGACAGAGGCAGAGCTGCAGGACCACCTTCTACACAGGTGGTGACCGGGCCAGGAGGGGGCCTGGCGACACGGGCGGGTGGCCCAGATCGTGCAGAGCCCTGACTGTCTCGTCTGGGGGTGCCGCCTGTCATCTTTAGTTAGCTACAGTTTCTAAGAGCAGACCACACGTACTCTTACGCCTTCAGAGGGATCCCCCAGCTTTCCTACAAGATGGCACAGGCTTCTCACATGACCAGACTGAGGAGGAGCCTGGGATAACGGAAGCTCTGCCCTGAATCTCCTGGGAGAGCTGGTCCAGCCACACATGGCTACCTTGACGCTCTACCAAAACATCAGAGGAGTGACACTGAAGAGTCTTTTCCTTTTTACTCCTGTTCTGTTCTAGAGACAATAGCAACAGAACTGTGGAAGTCAGAAACCAGGCTGACTGACAGCTGGGAGAAGCAAGGAAGCCCATCTCCAAGTGCCCGGTGGGTAAAGACAGGAGTCGACCAGGCCTGCTGCGCAGGAATCCTCCAGGCCTGAAGGTAGAGGCTCTGGAGGGCAGAGGCTCACCGCTGGCCACAGGGTGAAGCTGGCTCTGAACCAGGCTCCTCCTCTCCCAGTCTCTGCCGCTGGGTCACTGCCACCCCACACTTCTGCTGAAATCTGGAGGCAGATTTTCTGGAAGAGGTTAAATCAGAAAGTCTCTGGACTGGAGGTAGATCGGCAAGATGCCAACTGTGAGCGTCATGAGGGCGTTTAAAGCGAGAGCTGCTTGTCCGGCTCAGATACGCACGCTGCTGGGGGCCAGCTCAGACCTCTGCTTTCCCGGCAGGAGGCAGAGCGCTCTCTGGTCCCCCTGATAGAACAAGACGACAGGCTAGAAGGTCCATCACCAGGGCATGCAATCAAAACCCACACGGACCCTGGCCAGCTCAGCACTGACAAGCCCCTGACCGGCCTCAGAGCTCCCTGCCTACCTCAGTACCTGCATTCTCCACCAAGTCCTCCAACTACGGGTTACAAAATGCCAGAGGAAATTTAAAAAAACCAGAGGAGGAAAGTAAACTGGAGAGCTCAAGAGACAAAAACAGCAACAAAGTATATGAATTTTGCATGTAAACAATTAAAAAAAAACCCCTAATAGCAGAAATGTCAAATTAAGCAAAGAGCCTAAAGATAAAGCAGAAGGAAGCTGAGTCCTCACCCGCACAAAAAAAGGTTAATCATAAAACAAAAAGTAAATAAAATCCCAGATAATGACTTCGTGCTAAAGGGCCTTGCAGTGTTACATATATGCATACTGCGTGGCACGTCTGTGGCTGCCTGGGGTGGCAGTGGGAACTAGTGAACTTTCTGGGGTATAGAAATGTTTTCTATCTTAACTGTGTTGATGGAGACATGGGTAAAGATATTAATCTAAAAAAACAACTTTACTGAACTTTATATACTTAAGGTCTATACATTTTCCTGTGTGAACCTACATTTTAATTAAAAAAAAAAAATCACCACCACAAACCTATTACGATGTGAGAATTCGGGGGCTTCGACTCAACATTATTTCAAGAATCACACACACACACACACACACACACACACACACACACACACACACACGATTTAACTGGGCTAGGAAAAACGTCTAACTGCTTGATAAAGTTTGAACAAGAAGAAGTTAGGTTGGGGATCTTAAAAGACGCGAGTGGGCACACTGCTCACCAGAACCCGCTCACCACTGAGCCTCTGGCGGGGTTTCCCAGGCTGTGTATCACATGGGAGGAGAGGGCCCACCTTTCTCCTGTGGGGCCGCTGCTGGATTCGAACCACCGTTCATCAGTGCTTCTTGCCAACAACCACCAACGCTGGCAAAATAATTCCTAAAGCTGCAATTCTTGATCTCTCATCCTCCATCATGCATTTTATAAAGTAGATGGGTCAATGAACGCAAAACTCATGGCACACACACACAAAAAATTAAAAACAAACAAAAAACTTGTTTGTGGCACAGAATGAACTCGAAGGCTCTGAGCAAATACATTTTTAACTTACTCAGAAAAGCTCATTCTTCTATTACTCAAAGATCTCACAAATCCAATTAGGCAAAAAGTCCAAGGGGGCTGAAAAGTGGATTAATTTTCAATTTGAGGTCTCGATTTTTCTTGAATACACAGACGCACAAGAGCCAATCCAGCTGCAGAAACATTTTCACGTTGGCGTTGAGCATCTTTAAGTCAAACCCAGCCACCGGGGTGGCAACCTCCTCCTCTCTGTCATTGGTGACTGTCTCCCATTGGCTCTGCGGTGAAAGAAGCTCCACACTTTGAACAGATGCCACAAGAGGACGCAGAGCCAGCGGGCTGTCGTTAGCACATGAGCCAGCTGGGAAGGGCACCCCATGGTCCCCTCCTGGCTCTCACCAGGGTCCAGAGGGGGCACGCGCACAGTCTCCACAGACTCCCTATCCCTCTATCACATGGTTCAGTTAAAGGATGACAAGGACATGTTAAAGGAAGTGACTGAATAAACCCTCTTTTCTCAATTACTTGTCATAAAACCGAAATTGCTGGAATTCATTATTTGCTTTCCAGTTGGGCCAGAGAGCTTCCTGCTGGGATTATCACCAAAATAAATGCTTAACATGATTCAAAGTACAGATGAAGGTCGGGAGGGGAAAGGAAGCTGCTCAAAGAGCTGGCCTGAAACCATGACGACAACAAAGGGCTGAAACAGAACCAACTGTGGGCGGGGCCCAGGACCAGGGTGGGTTTGCCTGCGTACAAACCACCAAGAGCTGAAACTACAAGATAAGAAGCATCATTTTTTTAGAGGTCCCTACTGAAAAGTCCAAAGAAAGGAGACACTCTAATGATCCCCTGTATTTACTAGAACTGTGGTGAGCTGCATACAAAGTCCCGCAGCGCTAAGTCCCCCTCCCTTCAGTTCTCACAAATGGGAGTCTCATTTGAGTAGCTGCCTGGTGCTTTATAGAAGCTACTGGCTCTCAGAAATGGATAGAGCGAGACTGAAGGGAAATGCAGCAGCCCAGTGCACACAGTAATTCAAAATGCCAAGAAGGGAGCACGCAGAGCGTGCATTTCCAGGAAAACTCGCAGCAGTCCCTGTGCAGGGAGAAGTGTACGGAAGCGAGGGGGGAGGGTGGTGGCTCAAGGACACCTTGGGGAACTAAACCTTAAAAGCAATGGGTGCTGCACACACTGCTTTAATCATAAATCTCATAAATGAGAACATACAATTTCTCCTAAGGCATACCGTGACAAATACACAAATCATCAACTTTAGACGTCAGATGCCTTAGAAGGACAAAGTCCTTCTGTATCCTTTAGAGAAGGATGTCAACCAAGATGCAAGAGGTCACATTCACAACAGAGGCAACTGTTAAAAATGCAGAGCTTCATAAAGAAGTTAAACCAACAACTGAGCATGTTTGTGCTTCAATCTGGAAAAGAGACAGACAAGGGGAGGGAGGGAGGAACAGGCAGCAGGGCACACAGTAACGGGCCCCAGCAGACCTCCCCAGCAGACCTCCAGGAGTGTTGGGTCATCTCCAGCACAGAGGACAGTTAGGTTAAAAGATAACGAGAGTTACAAATAACAAAGAGAACAATTATGTGAGAAAAACTAGTCAAGCATTCATTGTGCTACAAATTGCCCTTGAGTATGGGACTCAGGGTGAGAACAACATCTCATCTTGCTTGGGTCAACATCTTCCTCTTCTCATTGGATATCTGGAGACTCCATTGGGCAAATCAGCTGTTGGGACCTCTGCAAGCTACTGAGGAACAATATCGGTTTGAAGACTAAGGTTCACTTGATTTGTTTCAGACCATGGTTTTCCAATCATCTGCTATGTATCTGAAAGATGGACAAAGAATAAGAGTGATAGAATTGATGCCTTTGAGCTGTGGTGTTGGAGAAGGACACTGAATATCCAATGGATTGTGAAATGAAGAAATAAGTCTTGGGGAAAAAATGCAGCCTGAGTGCTCCTTGTAGGCAAAGATGGTGAAACTTGGTGTCACACACTTCGGACACATTGCTAGGAGTGGCTGTTCCTTGGAAAGGGACATCATGCTTGGAAGGTTGGAGTGTCAGCAAAAGAGCCCCAATGAGATGGACTGGCACGGTGACCGCAGCAATGGGCTCAAGTGTGTCACAGACGATGAGGCGGCACAGGGCAGGTCAGCGCTCAGGTCAGCTGTGCACAGTCACTAGCAGTTATACTCGACAGAACCTAACACCTCCACTACCATCAGCACGCTGGCTGGGGGACTTCGAGTAAAGGCAGCAGGGCCAATTTCACGCCGTGCTGCCCTCTCTCTGCTCTAAATAGTCTGTGATGGACAAGTAAAAGCAAATACAGGGACAGAGCAGAGCAGGGCTCAAACGCAACAAAGGATCAAAAGGCAACAAGAGGTTTTCCCACTGAAGATGGCCTGCACAGCACGACCTCAACACCAGCGAGGAGAGCAAACTGTCCAGAGACAGCCAACTGACCAGCCAGAAAAACAAACCCATTCCGCACAAAACCGCCTGGTAGGGACTTGACAGTGAAGTCCGTCTAAGGTCAGAGATACGTGAAACACCATGTGTTAGAAAGAAGTTACTAGGAGTAACAACAAGAAAGCATGGACTCAGGAAGAAGGGATAGAAAAGAGCCAATGAGAACTCCTTGGAGAGAAGGGCCGAGATTT